TCCTCATGAAATCTTCCTTATCTTAAGGCCAAGATGTCATATCCACTCTGAAATGGTTCTCTTTGGTTTCTTTACATCAAGGTTAACACAGCTTACCTCTGGTTTCTCACAGAATGCCACAGATAAAAACATTTGTTTTATTCTCTCTTAAATTATGGTTGGTTGTTTCTCTGTTGACCTGTCTTGCTTTTCTGCTTCAACTTTTAAGATCTGTACTGCAGTCAAAATAATAAGAAAAACTTGCAGAGAACAACAAAAAAGAAGTGAAAGGAAATTAAAATGTACAGATATTACAACCAGGGGACTGGTTTTACTTCAAATGTCAGCGACTGGCCATCATATCATGAGCTAGATTCAATGTATTAGATTTATTTTAAAATTATGTGTTTCACTGTACTTTGAAACAAATTAGAAATCTATGGAATGAAAGGAAAGCAAGGATTGGCTTAGGAAGGAGAAAAGTGTTTCACAAAGTGAGAGGAATAGAAACTCTACAGTTTTATTTAATATTCACAGAATGTTCTTTCTTTAAAATCTTTGTTGAGACACTGAGTTATCTAGACCTTTTCATGTGATGTCAATCCTACAGCGATACTTAAGCCACCCAGCCCTGAACAACAGAGACTTAAGAGACCTTGGCTCCCTCTGCACAGCAGGAAGAATTATGGACTAAACCTGGTACACAAGTGCTGTTTTTAAACCTCCAGAAAAGAGCTTGGAAACAATAGAAGATTTTCCATGCCACAGTAATTATTATGACGAAGAATGGATCAAGAGTAGGTTGCGTGAGGCTGAAACGAGTCATTTGTAAGTAGCAAACAGAAGCCTGAAGGGAGAGAATGCCACTAGATACGTTAACATGAACTAGTTCACTGGCTTTCTTGGCTTTTGAAACCAGAATCTGCTGAAGTAATTTGTTCCTTAGCTTTAAATGTAGGATTAAATATAATTTAAGCTTATTCTATGAGTTAGAACTTTGAGATGCTAAGAAGGATTAATATTTATTCAGTGACAATTGTGTTCTAAGCAGAGAATCAGCTCTTTTACTCATATTACAGGTTGAACATCCCCAATTAAAAATTCAAAGTCCTCCAAAATCCCAAACATCATGTGTGCCAACATGACACAAGAAGAAAATTCCACACCTTACTTCACGTGATAGGTCACAATCAAAATGCATGTGCACTAAAACTATTGTACAAATTAATTTCATGTTATGTGTATAAGGTATACATGACATATAAATTAATTTCATGTTTATATTTGGTTGTATCACCTAGATATATTATTGCATATATGTAAATATTTCAAAATCCAAAATACTTCTGGTCCCAAACACTTCAGATAAGATACTCGACCTGAATTTCATTGAATCACAATCAGAACCTTTTGATAAAAACCTTATTTGACCCACTATATAGGCTGAGGACTGAAAATTAGGTATGTATTTGCTTAGCACTGTGGTAAGATAATGTTGAGATTTCAACAACTATCAACTCTGACTACAATGATTTTATAACTAGGTGGCAATCTATGAAGAAGATATGGTGCAAGCATTATATACTATCATTTACGTGCTGCTTGGTAGTGAAATAATCATAGGGAGAACAGAACGGTATGGAAATATTGTAAGGTGCTGAGTGTGAAGTGATATATAATTAATATATAAGAAAACAGGGAGCAGAGTTATTAGTGTGTCCCTAGCATGAAGGAACTCTGACTTGGCTCTGCAGAATTGAGGAAGGGAAATGGGGAGGTGCCTGAGGTGAGGCAGCAGCCAGAGCAAACGGTTCTCTCCTGTCACATCATAGGGAGCAAGGAAGGCAGCACCCAATGCTTCCCTGGAAGTGAGAAAGGAGAATTCACAAGACTTGGTGACTAAACAACGATGGGCAACGGGCAATGACTGCTCCAAAGCTTCATATTAAGGAAAGCAAACATGGAAAAAGTAATGGTTTGTGGAGAAAGTAATATGGCTGAGTTTCAGGTTCAAATAAAGTAGCCAAGTTGAAAGTATGTAAAAATTTAGAAAAAAACAAAGAATAACCTTATGAGAGGATGGACCTGTGGAGTATCCAGGCAAGAAAACAGAATTAAAAAGGGCACAGAGCTGACAAGAAAAGGTGAACAATAGTGGTGGTGGTGGGGAAACCCTAGAGAAATAAGGGCCATTTATGATTCCAGGGCAGTTTCAGATGAGAACCTGAACACAAAATACCACCAGGAGAGTGGGGGGCCAGGAAAACAAAAGCAATGAGAGACCCTCCACTCGTTTGTCTAAAAAGTTCACCTGAGAAATCTGAGAAATAGTTTACTGACAAATATTTATATGACAAATACACAAACAACATAGTCTGCTTGACTGATTTTCACTGTCATCTTTTTTAACATCACAATGTCTGCTTTTTCACTGTCATTTCTTCTAACATTCCAGGAACTCTACATTCTGTTCCAAAAAGAAGTCTTTTCAAAAAATTTTAAAACTTTCCTCTCCATTTAAAAAAATCTTTATATTATATTTGTATTTAAATTTCATATATCATTTGTGTGGAACTGGGCCACTGTTGTAAGCATTCTTGGATATTTCTTCCGATCTCTCTGTTATATGGAAAAGATCCAAGACCCTGGGAGAGCCAAATCATGTGTTTCGATTGTTGTCTTCTCCCTCAAGTTAGTTTCATCAGGTAACTTTGTAATTTAGTGCTAAATTTTTAGTTGTAAATTGTTTTTCTTTTTTTTAAGATGTATAGATTTACATTTACCTTTTCTGAGAAGTTTCTGATACCTCTTTTCTAAAATCTCTAATTATGTCCACTGGGTTTTTCAGCCCTAGGATCACTTTCTCATAAGGTTCTTGCCACTTACATGTCACCAACTAAATATCCTTTATCGGAAACAATTATGTCCAGAATAGGAATGCCCTTTTTCACTGTCCCCACATTCTAAGATACAAAACTGTCAGCAAATACAAATCTGGTATTTATTAGATTCTCCGTGTTAAATGGAGTGAAGCTTCCAGCAGATTTCGAGATAGCATCCCCTATTATTGTTACGCCTTGCCTCAGTATGATACAAATCAAGAAACTATCATCAGAGTTTAATATCCAACCTGGGATTGCACAAGAGCCTTTCCTTTGCAAATGACAAGGGAGAGGGAGGGAGGCAAATAGCTACTGCTGTTATGAGTAATAGCAAAAAGACTAATGTTTACTCATGTGAAGAAAATCCATGTACATCAAAGAGAACAGCAACAAAAAAGGAATATTCCAGGAAAAATGATAAAACGCTATTCTACTATGTTTACAATATGATGTAATTCAATAATAAAGTTACTGGCTCAATTTTTCAAGTACATATTTACCGTATACAAAGCACAGCATTACTCCATTATTTTATGGTTACTGAACTGTCTCCTGATGGCAACACTCAACTTACATAATTCAAAACCAACTGAGGAACAATTTGTCTTTTGAAATTTTCTCCCTTTATCTTATACTTCAAGAATTTAAGAGTCAGCTTCATTCTTTTGTTTCCTATAAAGTTGTATTTTTAGCTCTGCAGACTTTATGGCGCTCTATCTACCTGTAATTATGCCGCAGAAGCATCAGAAGAGGCCAATGAAAGGCCAGCAGCAGACAAGATAGCAGGAGGCCCATTAGTGGTCTTAAACAGCTGCAAGGAGGCAGGATGCGCACCTGGCAGGGTTCCGGCTGCCTCTGGCCAGGCATGACAAACCCCAAGAGCTGGACTTGCTTTCAGATAGTCCTGATGTAAGGCATTATTTCACTGTCCTGAAACCCAAGGGTTGAAATCAAACTTCAAGAGGGCTTGTCCAAAAGGGAGAAATTCGGAAAGCAGAGGAGAGGGTTGAGAGTGGTGGCCTTCTAGAAAGCTCTCCAGATCCTACAGCGCCACCACCTATTGTTCCACCCTTTCTCTCTCAAAACAAAGCAAAACAACCACTACCTCCACAGGGAAGGCCAGATGTTACTTGGTTCCAGTTTAGAAACATTGTGCAAATTCATTTTAAAAGTTAAAAAAAAAAAGTAATGAATCTGGACTTTACTTGAGACAAGAAACATGAGATGCTTCAAAGATGTTTTAAAATGTGAATTTTTATACAGAATAGAAATCATTTTCTAGTACAAATCATCTCCCACAGTTATGCAAAATTCCTTTTATAAGGATCATTACTGTCTTCGGATATATAAAAAAGTGTTGTTATATGTGTAGGTGTTTCTCACTCAATGGGATGTGATATTGTTAGTCATTACACAGTGCACTATATACTGCTCTGGCTCCTTATTTTAGATGAGGACATTTTGACTAAACTGAGTTAATGTAATTGCAGTAAAGTACTACATTTATATTCTATTCATCAACAACATTAGTATATAACACAAATTTACTTTGGAACTTTATGTACATGTACATTTTTCTTCATAAGCTGCAGGAAATGGCAGTTCTTATTCTCAAGGGGATGAAGGTGAACCAGCCAGACCATAAACTATGGTGCTCAAACTACAGGTGCTCATAAAGTGGACTGATACTGTCCCAGCAGGAATGAAGAGCTTTCTACACATTTATGATGAGGTTAGATGGTTAGCTATCTTTCTAACAAATAATTACAACTACACCTTCTATACAGGACAGACTGGCCCCTAGAGTTATGTGCATTAAAAATGAACACTCCTAAAAAGGAGCTACCCACGCCTTTTTTAAAAATTCATATTTTACCTCTCATAGGCAAATAAAGTTAAGTTCTATTAAGGAAATGCTCTAATTTATAATGCTGACTGTTATATAGGCATTCTCCTAATGTTGATGGTGACTAGACAAGGGTCCAACAACTTAAAACTTGGGAATTCATTTCACTGTTGTGATACTGAGGATCCATAAATTTGTCTTATGAACTTCTCCTATAATGCACAATTTATGCAACTGATAATATGATCAGGAAAATATTTAGCAGCCAAAACTACACAAGTAACTATACTTACGGTTGACAGAGCTTCACCAGGTCCTGGTCAGTGGTGTTAGGGGGCAGGCCTCGGATGTAGAGGTTTGTTTTGCTTAGCTGATCCCATCCTGAGTTGCTACTGCTGCTACTGTTGTTATTACTGCTGGTGGTGCTGGGACTAGGAGGGGCCATGGGGTGCACTGGGACCAGAGACTGCTGCAAAACAAAGATCAGGAGTGTCAGGTCACTAGAGGGAAGGGATGAAGCACCATTTAGAGGCTTCATAAGCTCCAAGATAAAAAGAAGTTACCAAGGACTAAATATAGATTATCTTCTGCTGCTTTCACATATAAATTTTAATTTACACCTTCAACACAATCTATTCTTTCTTCTAAAAAAAAAAATCCCTGCTCTTCAACATGAAATAATAGGATTTTATTCTCTATGTGTACCAATTGTTGTGGCATATACCTATAATTCCAGCACTCTGGGAAGGTAAGGCCAGGAGGATGGCATATTGGAGCTAGCCAGGGTCACTTAGTGACTTACCTAGACCCTGTCTCAAAATATAAAATGGAAAGGGCCAGGATGTAACTCCAGTATGAAGACCCTGGGTTCAATCCCTAGTACTGCCCAAACAAACAACAAAAACCCTCTATTGTATCTTAATGTGACTTCATTTATGTAAAATTAACTTATTCACACATTTTTAATAATACATCTCTGAGATTCAAAATTAATTTGCATAATGCCACATGATAATATCTTAATATGCAGTAATTTAGAAATCACTAGACTTTTGAAAAGGCTTTCAAATTCTGAAGAACATTTGATGAAAAGCTGTTGATCATTTTATTAAGAAGACTTTAAAAATTACTCTTCAAGTATAAGAAAGTTAGTTTACTCTACATCATCAAATAAAGAGGACTTCACCTAGTACTACAGGCACATGGCTTCACTGAGCATCTGGATAAGATTCACAGGTGCACCACCTTTCTCTTTGGCAAACCTTGAGAAACTTAACCTGGGTGAGAATAGTGTAGTAGTTGGAAATCTTCCCAGGCTATACAGCAAGCATCTCAACTCTTCTAAAGTCTACAACGAAGGGTTTGGTGTGGTTTTACCAACCGGAGGCCCCTAGGAAGAATGACTGAGGGTGGACTCACACCAGATAATTCTCTGTGAACCAATGGAAGGAAACCGCAGTTCTCTGACCCTAAGCCACACACATAACTTTTAAGGAAGTTAAGTGGCTTAGTTTGAGATGGAAGAGAGCACAACCTGAGATAGCCTCACAGCAAACACAGCAATTTTACATTAAGAGAGGAAATTTTTCATCTCATATCTTCTACATAGTAAATACACTAACCCAATGATACCACCCCATTTAAGTTTGAATATATAAAATGAAGTCACCAGAGATTCTACAAAAATATCAATTCCTACAACTTGACTTTTACAACCACACACAAGAAAATGAGGTAAGGCTGGGAGTGTGTAGCTCAGTGGTAAAGCCCTTGCTTAATATATGCAAGGCCCTGAGTTAGATCGCAGGCACCTCAAAATAAAAGAAAAAGAAAAAGAAAGATTACCTTTGACACCAGGGATAGGACTTGGAGAAGAAGTCTGAAAGAGCTGTGGGTCAGGTCCATCCCCACCTCCTACTGGGATTGCATTGACATAAAACAAACACACTACTGGATATCTGAAAACTGCATTCCAAGTCTGCCTCCACTCTAATTCTGCTTTGACAAAGGAAGAAAGGAGAGTACAGGGCATTGACTTGTGTGGTTGAAAGAAACACTGTGCATACGACTTATTGGGGATTTGTAAACGAAAGAAGTAGATTTTATGTATTTATTTTCGATATTAGAAATATACTCATAGTTTACATTTCTGAATTCACACAGCTGATTTAATATATGTTTGACCAACATTCACATGAACCAGAGTAGTATCTCTGCACTGTGGAAAGGGGTTACACAGCCTTTGTCTGGCTGCTGGCCGCTGGGAGGCCCTACTGGGAAATGAAATCTCCCAGAGTTCTGGCCCCTGGTAGGATAATGGGGTTATTGGACAGAACCAAGAAGAACCTCCTGTTTCTGAATTCTACATATAACAAAGTTCAAATTTAAATTTTATCCAAATATCAATTCTTTCTCAGAGCTAGCTGAAGAAAGACAATGATACCTGGACTACAGAAACACTGAAGTGTTAAGGGATGTCAATTTTTTAGTTTTTAGTATATATAAATTTCCATCAAATATTAACTTTTAAGAACTTCTTAAATCTAAAATGTAAGATATGATAAGAACTTTACGCATGTTTAAAGAAATTCAGACATAATAAAGATGTTTACTCCTAAATATTCAGAATGGGTCAATAGTTTTAATAGTATGAGTAATAATCACTGCAACTGCCTGTTTACTATGTGTCACTGTGTGTTGAATGCTTTATATGTACTGCCTTACTAAATCCAATGAGACACGTACAGCATTGTTCTCCCATTTTGCAGATTAGGAAGCTGAGTCTCAGGAAAGGAAGAGTAATGCAAAGTCATATATTAAATAGTTGGCAGGGCTGGAATTTAAATGCACATCTGCTAGATAACAAGACCAGAGTCTTCTAACAGTACCCTAAATGTTACTCCAAAATACCTCTTTTATCCTAAACATCCTAATTGCACCCTCCCATTTTCTATGGCCATCTTTCTTGCCAAAACAGTAACAAAACGGTACCTCTGAGTTAAATTAATAAGCACACAGTAAACTAGTGCTTTAAATAACAAAATGATGCTGGGTGTGGTAACCACACCTGTAATCTCAACACTGGTAGGCTCACTTAGGAGGATGAAAATTCTGAGCCAAGCCTGGGCTACTTAGAGAGACCCTGTCTCAAAATTAAAATTACAAAAAGGGGAGGGGAATACCGAGGGAGCTCAGTACCAAGGTCCTAGATTCAATCCCCAGTACAGCAAAACCAAACCAAACCAAACCAAACCAAACCAAACCAAACCAAGGTTAGTTTTAAAAAAGAAAAACATTACATTTACACTTTATAAATGTTTTCATTAAAGAATTGACCTGAGGGGCCAGAAGTATAGCTCAATGGTAGAGCAGAAGCTTAGCATGTGATAAAGTCATACACAAAGAGAAGAATGGATTAATAAATTAGTTAATTTTGACAGCCACTATGGAAAACAGCATTGAGAGTTTAACAAAAACATTAGAAATAGGACTACCATATGTCCCAGCTATCCCACTACTAGGTATATATTCAAAGAAAATGAAATCTGTATGTTAAAGATACCCACACTCCCATCTTCATTGCAGTATTATTCACAATAGGGAAGAAATGAAGAAATGGAAACAGAGTATCCATCAACACTGAATGGATGAAGAAAATGTGGTTTACATAATGGAATATAATTCAGCTATATAAAATGTTATGGTTTGTGTTTAGATGTCCCCCCAAAAGCCTCATGAAGATAAGGTGGGACTTTCTTTTTCAGAGGTTGTTGAATTTAGAATGTGTGATGCTGGGGTTAAGGGCATATGATTACTAAACCACTACATGTGAGTGATTAGTTTGGTACTGCCCTAATCCTGGTAATCTGAATAAGATAAAAGGGGCACAAAGAGCTGTTAAATTCCCTTGTTACCTTTGCTATCTTGTGCACCCCATGCTTTCTCCTTTACAATGCTTGTTTGTCATCCCTGTCTTGGAGCCAGCTAACTGGATGAAACCTCTATGAACTGAAAGCCAAATAAACCCCTTCCACTTTTAACTTTGGGTGTTGGGTATTTTGTCTCAGCAACAAGAGAAAAGTAACTAACATACAAGGGTGAAACCCTGTCATCTGGCACAAGGATGGAACTGGAGATCCTCATATTAAGTCAAATAAGCCAGAAACAGAAAGAGAAGTACCACCTGAGCTCACTCATACATGGAACTAAAAAAGTTGATTTCATAAAAGTTGAGAGTACAAGGGTGGTTACCAGAGATTGGGGAGGATAGGAGAGATGGGAAAGGTTCATCAAAGGGTAATAAAATTACAGTTCACAGGAGCAAGAGGTTCTGGTGTGCTACTGTAGAACAGGGTAGCTATAGATAACAATAATGAACTTGTGCAGTTCAAAAAGCTAAAAGAAAGGATTTTTAAAGTTTTCCATATAAAGAAATGATAAATGTTTGAAGAGATAAATACATTTTTACCTGATTTAAACATGAAAAAATGTATACGTGTATTGAAACATCAAGTTACTCATTAATATGTATAATGTTTATGGCTTTAGGTTATTAAAAATAAATTTAATAAACATAAATAATTGGTCTGTTTGAGAATAAAAATTATAAAGAATAAATTCTGCACACAACTCTTGAAAGTTACAGCCTAATATAAGCTAAACATCAGTGTCAGTGGAAGGCTTGACTTAAACCAGTGAAGAGTTAAACCCTCCTACACTGAAATGCAAATACTGACAAGTCTATTAACTACAACTTGAGAATTTGATAAATTTAAAGCAATTATATTTTGTAGTTAAACTATGTGTTTGGAAAGCACAAATGGTAAACAAAATTTTTAAAAAGGAAGGAAAAAAGGAGGGAGAGAAGTACTACACGTAAAGAATGATTTTTACCAAACTCCATTTTCATCACTGGTTGACCTTTCAAATTCTGCTCTCAAAACCCCTAAACTGCCTTGGAATTTGAAAAGACTTCCTCTGGACAAAGCTTGCAGCTAGTTTAAACACATTCAATCTAATTAGGGAAACCAGTGGCTAGATGACCACAGTTAAGCACCCATTCATCCCAGCAAAAGATCATAGGAGTCTATCTTGGCCTTCTCCAGCCTACTTTCTCTGGTTTAGGTAATCAGGCTACATTCTTCATTTCTCTATGGGGAGGGAAAACAAGTTAATTCAGTTTTCTTGATAACATTTATCTAGGCTAATCCACATGCCAGATTTGATAGAAAATAGTCAATGATGAATAAATTTGGTGACTGTATTAGGAGACCCCTGCTAATGAGTGTATGACACTGCATGAGTGTATGACACCAGGAAGAACAGTGCTGATCAGCATTCACCAGGAAGTCCTTTGTGGGGAGCACTCGGTGAGCACTTCCTATATGGCAGTAGTCAGGGAGGAAGGACTTCCTGTGTGGACAGCACTCAGAGATCACTTCCTGTGTGGGCAGGACTGATATCTCCACC